GCCCAAGGGGCCCCCCGGCCCCCCCCCCCCAACCCAAGGGGTGCGGCTGCTGCTGCACGCAAAGCAAACGCCAATGGGTGGCACGGCCTTACAGTACCAACAACGCAAGCAACAAAACAACGGAAGCAGCAGTATATACAGCAGAAGCATACACAGCAGCAGCCGGTGCAGCACGCACAGCCGAAGTCGCTGCACCCACAGCAGCGGCGCTCGCTGTAGTGGCAGCAGCAGACGCTGCACGGCGACAGACGCTGCACAACAAGCAACAGCACTAGCAGCAGCAAAACACAACAGCAGAAACAGCAGCAAAGATGCATGACCGCAGCGGGCAAGCGTTTAGCTGGTGCTTACATCCCATAGGCGGAAGCTTGGGGGCCCAGCTGTGGCTGGTGCTGGGGCTGTTGCATTTTGGTGTCTTCGTCTTTGCTGCTGCTGCTGTTGCTGCTGCTGCTGTTGCTGCTGCTGCTGCTGGTGTCTCTGCTGTAGAAGGCGTTCGCGTTCTCGCTGCTGCTGCTGTTGTTGCTGTTGCTGCAGCAGCCGCTGTTGAATCCCCTGCAAGTCCGGCAGTACTGTGAAGGGCTGGGGGCCCCCCGCTGGATAAATAAGCCCAAAAGGCAGCCACGGCAGCAGCGGGTCCCACCTCATAAGAAGATCGTCAGCAAAGTAGTTGCGCTGCCACCAGCCGTGCATATCTTTGCTACTGAAGGGGCCTCGCTGTGTACCGCTAGGATCCTTGTAGTACCAAATGCTGCTGCTGCTGCTGTTGCTGCCGCTGCTGCTGCTACTGCTGCTCAGCGGCACGCCCGCATCCATCGCCATTCGCTGCAGCAGTTCTACTGGACGCCCCATTACCTCCTGCTGCCCCTGGGGGGCCCCCAACGGGAGGCCCCCCAACAGGCGGTGCATTTCTCGTTGCTGCTGTTGCTGCTCTTGCTGCTGCAAGGCAGCAGCAAACAGGTCTACGCGGCTACCCAAGGGCCCGGGAGCGACTGGCGGCCGCTGAGGGGCAAGGAAGGCTGGCTGCTGCTGCTGCTGCTGTTGCTGCTGCTGCAGCTGCTGCTGCTCTAGTAAGGCCTGCTGCTGCCGCAGCCGTGCCAAAGAATACGGGCCTTGCAGCGCCGCCTCTGCTTGTGGGTTGTCTGCATGCTGCTGCAGTAAGACCTCCAGGCCCCTGCAACTGCAAGCGTGCATCCGCCACCGGATGCTGCTGCTGCTGCTGCTGTTGCTGCGGTTGCTGCTGCTGCACTGAGCTGGCTGCCATGAACTGGGACAGAGCAGCAGCAGCAGCAGCTCGTGCAGGGGCGCTGCTACGCACCGAATGGACTTGTGCTGCTAACGCATGCAGCTGCTTTTCCGTCATTTCGCTGTTGAGCAGCCGCTGTAGGGATGTCAAATTGGCATCACCCACCAGCTCCCTCCTGCTGCTGTTGCTGCTGCTGCTTGATGCTGAAGAAACAGGACCCGGCGCTGCTGCTGCTGTTGCTCCTACGGCTGCTAGCGCGCGCTCCTGAAGAGGGTGAAGCTCCGCAGGCAGCTCCCCTCTTTCTAAAAGGGATTCCACGCGGGAAAAACTACATGGAGGCAGAGAGGCCCCTCGCTGCTGCTGTTGCTGCTGCTGCTGCTGCTGCTCCGGTGCGCCAGCAAACGAACTCTGCTCTGGGTCCGTCTCGAGACTGGGCCACGAGCGGGCCGAACCGTCTCCTAGCTGCTGCAGCAGCAGGAGTTGCTGCTGCTGCTGCTGCTGGGACTGCTGCTCCTGGTGCTGTTGCTCCTGGTGCTGTTGCTGCTGCTGCTGCGGCTGCTGCTGCGTCTGCTGCTGCCGGGGTTTGCGTTTAATGATCGGCTCTTCAGCCCAAAAGGCCGCAACAGAAGATAAATCTGACCGTTCGCGCTGCGTGAAGAAAGGGTCTAGTGGCTGCTGCTGCTGTTGTTGCTGCTGCTGCTGTTGCTGCTGTTGCCGCTGCTGCTGCTGCTGTTCTGCGTGCTGCAGCAGCAACTGGCGGGCGTCCGGCTGAGCCCAAAGCTCCTCGCGGCGAGGCAAGGGGGGAGCTGAGCCGCTGCCTGCAGCATTTGCTGCTGCTTCTGTTCCTCCTTGCATTAGCGAGGGTTTAACAGGAGAGGTCAGAACGGCGGACAGAGCAGCAAAGTCAATGGCAAACGGCTCCTGCTCCTGCTGCTGCTGCTGCTGCGGGGTAGGGAAGCCCCCAAGCTTCTCTACTGCATCAAAGCTACCAGCCTCAGCAGCAGGCGACGCCGCTGCTTCCGTGTCTCGGTGCAGATCCCTACAAGGTTCGCCCCCCACCACTCCGTCCCGTGCTGCTGCTGATGTTGCTGGTGCTGCTGCTGATGCTTCACTTGGGTGCGGCTGTGGTTGCTGCTGCTGCTGCAGTGGGTTGCGTTGCATTCCGATCCTCTGGAAAGCGCTATCATCTGCTTTCTGCGTCGCCGCTGCAGCGCTTCCTGTATCCGCAACAGCAGCAGCAGCAGCAGCAGCTGTTGCAGCGCCATCCTCTGCTGTCTCTCGCCTTGAAGAGGTTCTGCTGCTGCGTGCAGCAGCAACACCAGTACGACCCCACACCCCACAGCCAGGCGCAGGAAGCCCTTGGGGCTGCGTCAAGCCCTCTAAGTAAGCATCTCCGTCTCCCCTATGTCTCCCGGGGTGCTGCTGTCTGCTGCCGCAACTGCTGCTGCTGCTGCTGCTGGTGTCTCCGCCCTCGCCTGCAGCAGGGGCTCCCCATCCCTGGGGCCCCCGAGGGCCCCCTACTGGCCCCTGAGATGGTCGAGTTGTCGAAGCTTCAGCAGCAAAAACCCCCCCGTCAGGTTTTGGAAACCGACTGCTGAATTCAAGCCCGCGAGACGACGTGCTGCTGTCTCCATCCCCGCCTCCCCGCTGGTGCTGCTGCTGCTGCTGCTGCTGCAGCTGCTGCTGCTGCAGGCCCTGGCCCCAGACTCTCCGCCCGCCGTCTCCGCCGTACCCCAGCGGTTGCTGCTGCTGCTGTTGCTGCTGCAGGGGGGCCCCCAAGTGGGAGTCAGCAGAGTCCCCCAAAAGACGACGGCCGAAGGAAGAACGCTGCTGCTGCTGCTGTTGTTGCTGCTGCTGCAAGGGAGAAGGACCCTGCGAGGTGGCCCCCGCCGAGCCATCCGACTGCTCGCCAGCCTCTGCAGCAGCTTCTGCTGCAGCAGCAACAAGCACGGAAACGAGAAACATGAAGAATTAATAAATACAAAGGCACAACACACAAAGACAGACCTGCACGGACACCAACAAAGAAAAACAACGAAAAGACAGACAAAGGAAATGGATGGGGGCAACTAGCATACGAAGAAAGACAAGCACAAACAAACAAGAGAAACAAATAGAAGAAACAAATAAATAAACAAACATGCAAACAACAAAAGACGCATGCTCCTCCCCCACGTGTTCGCTACGGTGCGCTTGTTTATTTCATCGGCGTGCATTTGTCTTTGTTCCTGCATTATATACATTTACAATATACATATATAGTCTTATATACGTATACATCTATATAATATATATATTATATACAATATGCATGGAGCATATAGAACAAATGATAAAAAATACGCATATATATACATGTATATATATATATATATACATTAGGTATGTACATATGTATGTATACGGTATATGCTGCTTCGTCTCTGTCTGCATGCATTTTTATTTGTGTTTGTTTGTTTGTTTAGGTTTTGTTTCCCCAACAGATTCTGTCTCCGTGTTTGCGTGTCTACATGTCTATTCTTTCTGTTCTTTTCCTTCTTTGTAAATTCCTCCTCTTTTTTCGTTTGCTCTTCGTTTTTGTCTATTTGATACTACAAATGTAATTAATAAATCAATTAACTAAATAGTTGTATTTGCTTTAAATTGTTGAAATAAATCTATGAATATCAATATTTTTGGATGAAAAATACTTTTCTAGTAATTCGTTTTTGTTCCGCTTCCGTCTGTTATTTTCCTTTGTTGTCTATTCTTCTTTTTCCTTGTGTTCTTTTCATTTATCTTTATTCTTTCTGTATCTTTACTGTTAATTGCGCCTCTATTCTTCTTCTTTTCACTGTTCCTCTCTGTCTCCAATTATCTGCTATTTCTGTCTTTTTATTTGTGCTTTGTTTTCCCTCTCCCCTATTCCACTTTCTTTTTCTATTTTTCTACTTTTTCTCACTTTTCCTTCTCTCTGATGCACATCTTTCTGTCTCCTTTTCTGTCCGTTGTCTGTTGTTTTAGTCTAAACTACCTCCCTTATTTCAGGTGCCTCTTTAGTTGTCTCTTCTTCTGCTGTCTATTTCTCTAGTGTATATTCTTTAGGCTGTCACTCCTTCGGCTGCTCACCTGCTCCTAAGTGCTGTTGCACCCCTCGAACCATCCACGAACCCCGTTGCTGCTGCTGCTGCTGCTGCTGTTGTTGTTGTTGCTGCTCTGGGCGTCCGTAGGAGGCGGGCCGTTCACCAGCAGCAGTCGGTCCTTCCTGCAGCGGCAACAGCAGCAAAGCAAACGATTAATAAACATCAAAACAAAACAAACAAAAAGAGAGACGCAGGCCAAACAAGCAAGGGGAAAGCGAGAGAAGGGTCAAGCAGAAAAAGATGAGACAAATGCCAAACAATCAACAAAATCCGGCTGCTGCTGCTGCTGCTGCTGCGGCGGCGGCGGCAACTGCTGCTGCTGCTGTTGCTGCTACAGCTGCTGCTGCGGAGGCAGCGTTGGGGTGTGCATGCAGGTGCATGCAGCAATTTGGTCTGTTCTGCTTACTGGACGAGGTGCATGCGCGCCTGGCTGTTGCTGTTGCTGCTGTTGCTGCTGTTGCTGCTGTTGCTGCTGCTGCGGCAGCAGCTTCAGTGATTCTATAGAAGCAGCAAAAAAGGCAGTGGGGTGGTCGGGGCGGTGGAGGGCCCTCACGGCTCTCACGTCTGCTGCATCTGCTTCCCGCTGCAGCAGATGGACTGCGAGCAGCTGCTGAAGCGAATATACTGCACCTGTGCGTGGCGGAGGCGGCGGGGGCTCCTCCTCTTCATCTGCTGCTGCTGCTGCAGCTGGTCCTGGTCCTGCCGCTGCCGCTGCCGGCGTTTCTTGCTCTGGTGCTGCTGCTGCTCCAGCTGCTGCTGCAGCTGCTTCTTTAGAAGAGGGTGCAGGTGAGGAGACAGAAGGCCCTGAAGCTGCAGCCCCCATAGCAGGCGTGTCAGTGCGCGCCTTGGTGCTCTCGTCGCCCCTTGCTGCTGCTGCTGCTGCTGTTGCTGCTCCCCCACTTCCAGCTGCAGCCCCTACGCGTTTCAGTCCCCACAGCGTGAGCCGCCGCTGCTGTTGTTGCTGCGACGACTGCTGCTGCTGCTGCTGCTGCTGCTGCGGCTGCTGCTGCGACTGTTGCTGTCGCTGCGCGTCTTGCTGCTGCTGCTGCTGCTGCGTCAGATTTCGAGTAAAGAGCGAAGAAGCTGCTGCTGGGGTGTCATCTTTAGGAGGTGCAGAAGAAGGAGCAAAGAAACCCGCAGCAAGAGTGTGGGGTGTGGGGCCCCCAGTTGCCTGCAGAGACGAAGGGGAAGCCTTCCCTAACGGAAGCCGCTGCTGTTGCTGCTGCAAGCCCCTGACCCCAGCAGCTGCCACTGGGCTCCTGCCGCTGCCGCTGCTGCTGTCATCTGCTGCTGCTGCTGCTGTCGTCGCTGCAGGGATATCCCACCGCCTCCTTGTGGGGGCCGTGGCGGGGCTGCTGCTCTTGGCTGCTGATATATCTGCTGCCGAAGCAGCAACAACTTTTGCTGCCGCAGCAACAGGCGAGCTGCCGCCCCCGAGGCCTGCGAGGAGTCCCCCGGGGACTCCTATGCCGGTGCTGCTGTGCTGCTGCAGCGCAGCAGCAGCAGACCCTTCAGCAGCAGCAGCAGGAGCGCTTCGGCTTGAAGGGCCCTCTCGCAGCATCATAGAACCCAAAAGAGCATCTAAGGTCTTAGGGCGACTCGGCGACGCCCCAGATGAACCAGAGGGGCCCCCAGAGGGCCCCCCCATTGCTGCTGCTGCGGTGCTGCTGACGCCGGGGAGGCCCCGGGACAACGGCCCCGGTGCCCCCCCAAACCCTCTCCTATGAGAGGCAGCAGCACCCAGCGAACTACTGCTGCTACTGCTGCTGCTGCTGCTACCAGCAGCACCAGCCGCGGGGCGTGGACGCCCCACTCCTGCTGCTGGCCTGGGCTGGTACATGTTGGTGCTGTTCCAACAAGAGACCACCAGGCAGATGCTTCTGCGACGGAGGGGGCACTTGCTGCTGTTGCTGCTGCTGCTGTTGATGCTTCTGGTGCTGCCGTTGTCTCCCCCGTTGCTGTAGTGCTCTGGGGACCTGTGTCTCCGTGGCTGTTGAAGGGGGGTGTGGCGCGCTGCAACCAACAACGGCGTTCTACCGCTTGCTGCTGCCCGGCAAGGTCCTGCTGCTGCCAACACGAGCAGCAGCAGCAACAACAGCAACAGCAGCAGCAGCAACAGCAGGAGCGGCGCTAAAAGGACCCCCCACAGGCGCCCCTAAGAGGCAAGGCGAGTGCAGCAGCAGAAACAACAGCAGGGGAGTGTGCAACCAACAGGATGAGAAGATAGGAGGCGTATGGGAAGACGAAAATTTTGCTGCCGCAGCAGCAGCAGCAGCTGCTGCTGCTGCTGCAGGGCTGAGTATGTCTGCCAGGGGCCCAGCCCCGGCTTTGTTCAACCCGTGCAAGGGGAAGAGGCAGCAAAAACAAAAATGATTTGCTGCTGCTGCAGCAAGAGGCAGTCTGCGCTGAATACCCACACGCGGCAGAAGGAGCGGAGGAGCCCCAGGGGTTAAGGGGGGTCTTAGAGAAGCAATAAAGAGAGGGAGAAGAAGAAATTGATATCTACTTTATTCATTTATTCCTTTATAACGCCAAATACGCAAACACTGTTCCCCTTCACACTCTACCGCCCCTCGCAACCGACTCGTAGTAGCAGCAGCAGCGGCTGCTGCTGCTGCTAGCAGCAGCTGCTGCTGCTGATGCAGTAGCATCAGTTCTGGTGCTGCAGCTGCACGTGTCTGCTGCTGCCTCCTGACGCATTCTACCTTTTCACTCTACTTTAAAATATAAATAGAAACTTCCTTTGTTTTATTTTATGCTGCTACATTTAATCAACACATGCCTTCCATAGAATATAGGGCCCCCTTTATCGCCCTCTGCATGTATGTGTACGGAGTCTGCTCTGGAAGAGCTCTTGTTGCTCCTTTTAAACTTTTTTCGAATTCAATTTAATAATAAAAACATTCTTTCCCCCTAACAACAAACTCTTATTGAAACCTTCTTCAAACGTCTTGACTCTAAGCCTCAAAGCGCCACAACTTGTACGCCATCATAGAGCTGTATACAGCCTACATAGACAAATGTAGAAAGCTCGTAGATAAATTGCTTTTTAGTTTTATTGATGGTTGCTACTGACATGCAAAGAAACGTCTAGAGCTTAACAACTGCCTTAGAAGGAGGGGCTGCTCCTATGCTGAAGGAACCCTTGTTTGTGAATGCCTGCCTCTGACGTTGTCTTGCTGCAGCTGCAGCTGCAGCAGCTGCAGTAGCTGCAGCAGCAGCTGTAGCAGCTGCAGCATCAGCTGCTGCAGCAGTTGCAGGGAGAACAGTAACTGCTGCAACGCGCAGTACAAGGCAAATGAAGACAGCAAAGCCAGTCATTCAGTTGCGTAATAGAACCCTCATATAAATGAATAAGTTGTTGGGTTCTCTTGCAGCTTTAAAAACCTGCTGCGCTTATTAGGATCGAGGGTTTTGCTTACTGTCTTCTCAAAACATCTATTGGCCGGCATATACATATATACATATATATATATATGCATATATATATGTATATATATATATATATATACATATATATATGCGTATATATATATGTACATATATATATACATATATATATATATTTGTTTTTTCATCTATCTATTTGTATATTTATTATTGTTTTTTTGTGTGTGCGTGTATATGGAAGAAGGCGAACAACACCATAGGTGTTAGTAATTTATTCGTTTTGTTTAGGGTTTAGAACTAACGGCCTTAGGGACTTCAAGGGCTATGCAACATCTGCAATATCTCTTCTGTCTTCTATATTTCTTCTTAACAACTAGGAAAGAAGCAGCAGAGGGCCCTAGAGGGGTGCAGAAGAGGCAGAAGGAAAAAGTAAAGAACAGCAACAGCAACTGAGTTTCGTTCAAGTCTCCCTTACTACAAGCCAGCGATACTGCGTGCAAACGCATGCAAATTCCCTCCTAATGCATGCGTTAGCACAGCAGATAATTATTAATCACTTCCCTGCACCTCAGCTGTCAGCCTGCAAACAGACAGAAAAACATGCATGCAGCACCTCTAACAAAAGCGTTGTTAAATATAACGCATCCTCATGTGCCCGGGGCCCCAAGAGTTTGATAGAGAAGCAAATGCCCTGAAAAATAGAAAAGAGGAAAACTGACGGGTTTAAAACGAATCAGATGGTTCCTGCTGGTGATGCTTATTCTTGATGCTGCTGCTGGTGCAACCCAGCAGCAGCCGGATGGATTGCAGCAACTGCTACTGCTGCAGCTCGCTGTTAGCATCGTGGTGAAAAAGTGTTGCAAAGTGGAAGCAAAAAAGCACGGGGGAAGCGAGTGGCTATAGTCCTTGCGCCTCCTTCACCCTTTGAAGGCATCTTGCTGCCCTTACTGCAGCGGCAGCTCCTGCTGCAGCATCAAAAATCACGCAACTCAACACAAACTACTAAGCTGTACAGCAACGTTTCTGCTGTACCCCCAGTGCTACAGAGCCGTGTGCGTGCTACTGGAGTCTAGGGCTTATCCAAACATATGCTTCTTCGCCAGCTGACTGTACGATACCCTGCAACGTACTTTGATTGATTTACTCTGAGTGGAGAATATCTATGTTGTCCCTGCAGTGGCTGATGCAGCTGTGCATAGGGCTGCCTCACCCCCTAAACAGCCTTATATGCCTGAATAATTCTCTTTGAAACCCGGGAAAGAAAGGAAAGACTCGTTTTGCAGCAACTTAGTCTCATCTGTAAATTCTTTCAGCTTACTGCAGCTGCAGCTTTTAAGCCCAGTGAATGCATCTCAGGCCCACTCCTCGCTACAGCAAAGAGTTGGTCTTGGTGCTGCTGCAGCTGCAGTAGCTGTTGCAGCTGTTGCAGCCAGCACAGGCACTTCTGCTGCCGCTACAGATGCTGCTGATGCTGCTCTTTCCTCTGGGGTTTCAGCAGACCGCATATACTGCGAGAGAGCCAGCTATATTTACATCAGCTTGTTTCCCTATGTTAATTTCTAGACCCATTTTTCTCTGCCTATTGGCTTTTCCACTTCGTCTTTGATGGCATCCAAGGGTGTTTCCTTTTATTAGTAATAATGCTTTTGTTATTATTTGTCTTCTCGTGTTTACTTTTATTATCACTACTATTATTTACCTTTTCGTGTTCATTGAGCCGCCAAATAATCTCTGTTGCCTTAAGTAGCTCCTCCCTTTTGCCCAGTTTCGCCTTGACGTTTAAACAGCTTTTCCAGGCTAATTCCTCGTCTCACATAATGAACAAGACGATGGAAGCAAACAAAAGGAAGAACAACCAGCAATAAAGCAAGCAAAACAAACATACACAAACGGCAAGGTAACCAAGAGAAGCGGCGTGCAAAGGGCAAACAGACGAAAGAAATCAAATTTCATTTTCTATGCCATTTTTTCCCTTCCTCCGATATAGATAATAACCGCCCGGCAGTTTGCGAAGGCACGAAAAAACCAAAGGTGAATGTGACACAAAAGAAACAGTTCTCAATGAAGTGAAGAGGAGCAAACTACACCGAGTTGAGTCCAACGGACGCCAACTAAAACAGCTTTTCAAAACAGAATTGCCTCAGGGAAAGCACCACTTATGCGTAGGGCCGTAGAGACCCTTTGTCGAGGGAGATTCTCTCGATTGGACTTTACAGGAAATAAGTGCTAAACCATTATCTGGATTTTGTTCTGAGTCCCTTGAAACAATGTGACTAAGGCCGGCAGTAGGTAAGCGAGTGGTAGGAAGTGATAATGCTTGCTTTCACTGTCATGGGGTTTGTTAGCCGCCACTACAACTAGACAAGCACATCCATGCAGCCGTAAGGCAGGGTACATTTAAAAAAAAGTAGACTTTGTTGAACTTGTTTTTCAAGATAATATTCTTGCTGGAAGAGCAGTAAAGGAGCTTCGCTACGCGAAGACAGACGATGCTCAGCGCTTCGGTTCAGGGGTTGGGTGCATTACGCGGGAAAGAAACGCTTTTCAAAGCTTCTCTCCTTTATGTTTTATTTATTTGAAGCATGTAGGTGATACAATTCCTTTTTTTCAAATGGTTCATAAGCAGAAACCCCTTGAAACCCACCGGCACACCGGCGTTTCCTTCAGCTGATGTTCCATCTTCGACTGCGAACACTTTTCAAGCACATCCCCATGATGAATCTGCAATTATTTTTAAGAGTGTAAAATTTATGATATTTGAAATTCGTAAGTTCTTTTTCTCGCAGTTTCGGTGTTCGTTCCCGGAGGCCCCCACGACCCGTGCTGGAAGGTCACCCATAGTTTTGCCTCTTGAACGCGCAAATTAACTCCTTTTTCTCATGGCTTTTAATTTACAAGCAACAGTAGCGTTAATGTGTTCATTGAATGCGAGTTGCTTTCGCATTTAAGCCGCATTCCCCCCCGTTTCTCAGCTCAGCTTCTCCGCCGCATGCACGGCCGCAGACCCATTGTACAGAAGCCGGCAGCTAAACTGTGCGTTGTTTTCCCTGAGTTATGTAGGAAATAGTTGAAAAATTGTGTTTCATGCAGCTTTCTTCTTTCCGCCGTTGGATTTGCTTGTCCCTAGCTCCTATGAATACCGAGCACTCTTCTGCAATACGTTCTGTATACAAGAGTATCCTTCTCCGCCCAGGCTGCTTCAGTAATTTGCATTACTAAAGGAGGAACGAGGAGAGGCGTATTACTTGTGCTGCAGCACATAGAAAGTCAAACGTACAGACAGACAGAATTGAAATGAGTATATTTAACAGCATGCCCCCCTTTGCTTTCACAGCAACACGAAAAAGCTTTTTAGGAGATTTCTTGCCCTCCTAGTTTCTTCTGCTTTCTTCCCTATTACGCACCTCTTCAGTGCAGAGCAGTAGTGGGTGATCATTCCTTCTCTGTTGTTCAGAGACACAGTGTTGTTTTCTTCTTATCTCGCACCAATGGAGCCCAGACCTTTTGTTTTTTCGTTAGAAAGAAAACAAATTATGCCACCCGTGGGCCCTCCGCAGCCTTCTTCCCGCCGCAGCGCAAGAGCAGCAGCAGCAGCAGCAGGCACCATCAAGGGTATAATAGAAGGCAGCGACAGCCCCGTCTGCATGCATATACCGAACTGCTCCCCTAACAGGAAGTGCGCAGGCAATAAAAACCCTCCTAAACATCTGCAATCTGTCGAGATGTACAAAGTACTGCAGCCAGCATCGCAAGAAACTGCTGCTGCACCACCAGATATCTCTTCATTTGCTTCTCCTGGGGAGTCTTGCGCGGGGGACCCTCAACAACCAACTCTTGCACGCGCCACGCTTCCCAGTTGTAGTGAACATACACCTGCAGATAGTGCGACATTACGCGGCAGCCAACCGTACAAGGATCTGCCTGCTGCTCCTGCAGCAGCAGCAGCAACATCAGCAACTTGTATTACGACGTACCCCTGGATAGAGCCGCCCCCCAAACCTGCTGCCCCTCTGACTTACAGCAGACAGCAGTACCTGCAGAGCCAATATTCGAATATTTTTCAACCCGAGGGGCCCCCTGTGAGGCGCATGAAATATTTGCCGCTGCTGCTTTCGCATCTGTCTCCTGTTTTGTCTTTCTCAGTTGCAGTCTGTCCCCGCACACCTCTTTGTCGCTCTCTACTTGATTTCTTGTTCTTCTGTCTTTTCTCTCTACACCAAATTCCTTGTGTATCTGTTTCCGTCTTTGTCTCGCTCTGCTTAGTTCTTTGTCTCTCTGTCTCTATTTCTATAAGCTTAATTCTTTGTCTCTATTTCTCTCTTTCTTCCCTTAACTCTTTGTTTCCCAGTCTCTGTCTCTCCTTGTCTTTCTAATTGTTTGCTTCTCTGTCTCCCTTTCTGTCTCCCCGCCTGTGTCTCCGTCCTTCGCTGCGTCGGTGTCTGTCAATCTTTATTTCGCATTCTTGAACTCCCTAGTTAATACATAATGTATAATGAAGATGTGGGATTCAAGAAAATAGAAGAATAACCATATTAAAACACCCGGAGTGTACGTACACCACAGGATAAGCATACGCTGCTGACGTGCACTGACCCTCCAAAGCCAAGCGCAAGTTCCTGAAGCTAGCTAGCTAGCTTTCTAGCTACCTTTTTAGCTAGAAAGCTAGCTTGTTAGCTAGCCAGTCAGCTAGCTGGGCCCTTGTTTGGCCACGGCCGCAGCCTCTGGCCTCTCTGTAGCGGTTTAGGTGTACACACATCTTCACTCGGAGGTTTGCCTCGTGCAGTTGGGTGGACTCAGCCACAGAACTAGGTAGCTCTCTAGCTAGCTCTCTAGCTAGCTATCTAGCTAGCAATCCTTTTTGTCCATGTGATTATTTGTTTGCGTATGTCTGTGTATTTATGCTTGGTGCCGGTTGGTGTGGACTTGCGTTTTTAAAAATATTATTATTTTTCCTTCCCTTTTTCTTCTTCATAGAATTTGTGTTCGCTGTGCTGTGCCGCAGATTGAACCCCCCAGAGGCAAACGGCGCTTCCCGATGCCTTCTTCTCCTAACTTCATTGCATTCTGTCCCGCAGCAAATGCCTAGGGGGCCTTGAGGTGTACATGCACCTCATCATCGAGGGGCAACAAGCATACTTGACGTGTCCGTACACCTACCTGACCGGCAACGATCTGGGCAAGGCGGCAGCAGCATTGCATCTTACCAATCACAACCTCTTAAGAGGGTTTCTTGCTGCTATCAGCATCAGATGATTAGGAAGTTGCTGTTGGCTTTGCTGCTTCTACTGTTGCTTCCATTGCTGCCGGTGATGTTGTGTTTCCCGCTGCTGCTGTTGCTGTTCTTTTGGTGTTTCTTCTTTTTATGTGCATGCAAACACGCCCTTTAGAGGGATAACAGCGCTCTAATCTCTCTCTCTCTCTCTCTCTCTCTCTCTCTCTCTCTCTCTCTTTTGCAGTGTCCATACAGTCTACGGGAGACTAGCAGAAAAGTATTTAGGTCGGCATAAGACAGCTTTTTATCACTCATTCACTTACGAGTTTATCTCTTGCATATATTTCAAGACGGTATACAGATATGCGTGCATGCAGTTACACACGGCATACATGAGTGCATGCATGCACAACATTAATGCACACCTCTAGGTGTCTTATAATAAAATAAAACATGTAATTATATGCATGAAGTCAAACACAGCGGCGCCCCATGCCTGCCGGTGTTCTTCGCTGTATACACCCGAAAAAAGGCACAACACCTCAACCCAAGTGCAGCTGGCTGTTCACCTGGAGCTCCTTCTGCAGCAGCAACAGCAGAAACAGCAGCAATAACAGCAAAAGGGATAACAGAAGCATCAGCAATCCCAGTAGGAGTGCACTGCAGCCAGAACACAAGAGAAGCACGCCCTGACCGTTCGGTGTGCGTGACGCGAGGAAAACCCTCAACAAAAATTCTGCACGGAAAGGCAGCTGATATAACCCCAAAGCCTTAAAAGGAAGCAGAAACAGCAGCACCAGCTGCTGCAGCTGTTGCTGCTCTTTCTGTTATACGGCAATTGCGATTTCTGCTGGTCCAGGGGAGGCGTCGGCAGCAAAGGGTTCGTCGTCTGGCGAAAATTGCCACTAAAGAGTCTGGTTAGTTGTATTTATTTTCCGCATTTAAATATTTTAAAAAGGAATCCGGCGTTTGTCGTCGTTACTAAATGCACACACCCCTGAAACGCACGAAAAGGCTAAGAAGGGGGCCCCCCTGAGCAGGGAGGGCCCCAAGGGGTTGTAGCGATACGGTGCATCTGCTTGTTGTCGTTAATTTCCTATTGTTACTTGTGAAATAATATAAAGCGCGAAATCATTAGTCTTAGCGGATCCATCTGAATGTGCAGCTTTCAGATTCAGTTGTACGTACACCCCAAATTGTTTGCCGCGTCGTCGGGCAGCAGATCACCAGCGGTTTTTGACTTGAAATTTTCGAATTTTTATCAATATATTAGCTTTAATTTGTTTAAAAAATGTTAATTAAAGTGGAAACCTCCAACTTCCATCTTCCGGGGTCTCGAGACCCAACGAAGTGGAATGGTCCGTTCACCTTCGCGCTGCTTGCAGATCCGCAGGTTGGTCCCTCATTTATTGAGTTTTCCCTCTTCCTTTAACACTTTAGAGCAATACCTGTTTTTCTGTTTATAAAAAGAAGTCCGACGAGTCCTTTGTCGTAAAAACAAATCCAATGAGTTACTTCTTTCTGCTTCTTTCTCCCGTAACAAATGCACTAGCGGCGGAGGCACGACAGAATGTACGTACACTGCATTCTTCAGTGCATTGCATTTAAGAAGGAAGTCGATCGAAATGCTGCTGGTTCTGATTTGTTTGCCTTCTCCAGTTGGGGCTCTTCAAGAACAACCACTCATGGGAAGAAGAACTCCAGCAAGTTCAAGATTGCATTGCTGCATCAGCAGCCTTACAACCGCAGCCTGCCTTCATACTTGTATTGGGTGATCTAGTGCATGCACCTGTTCCTGCACACAACTCAGGACCCAATGCAGAAGCCATTCGCACCGTTCGTGTAAGCAAAATGGAGGATTACCTGCAGGATTACCTGCTGCTGCTGCAATCTGCTGCTACTGCTGGTGCTGCTGCAATCTGCTGCTGCTGCTGATGGTAATGCTAATGATGGCGTGACTGTTTCCCCTGCTAGCCATTGCTGCTACTCTGGATCTGCTGCTGCTGCTGCTGTTTTCGCTGCACCTGGGCTTCCCGACTGCTGCTGCTCCTGTTGCTGCTGCCGCTAATAGTTCTGCTGCACTAAGGTCCCTTTGTTGATCTTTTGCTTCTGCTGCTGCAGTTGCGTTTGCTAGTTTTTTATTGCACATAAAGCCACAAAATAAACTGAATTTGATGGGTTTGAGAAGAAGAGACGAAAGGCATAGTGTGCTGTTAAACAAAACAGCTTCAGAGTATATAATAAAATAAAAAGGACAACAGAGCTTTATTGCTGCAGGAGTCTGCATTTACTTTTGCTGCGTTTTACTCCTACTGTTGGTTATGTGCTGCTGCACGTCGGCTGAGACTACAACAAATTTGGGGTGTATGCACACCTGCAGACGCCGTGAACAAAGAAACTAAGTTAAGGGGCAGAAGAAGTGAAAGGTAGAATAGACAATAATAACAACAACGCTTCAAATGCTTGTTTTAATTTGGGGTGTATGTACACCTGCTGCAGGATCAACAGGCCAGGGACCTCCAGATGGTCTTAGACAAGCCCAGCGGAGATGTTCCTGTGGTAAGAAAAATAAGAAAATAATATCAGAAATTATAACAGTAATAATAATAATAGGAATAATAATGTTGTAGTAGTAACAATGTGATAATCATGATGCAGCAATGAAGCAACAGCGATATTTTTAATATTATGCAGGCAGAATTTGTAGGGAGAAAAGTGATAATAATGATGCCCCCAGCAATTATTAATCATATAAATTATAATGATGCCGTTGCTGTTGCACTGGTTTGCTTCTGCATGCGTTTGCTGCTACATGCAACTATTTGCTTCTGCATGCATTTGTTTGCTGCTGCATGGAAATGCTTGCTTTTTTTCGTTCGCTGCTGCATGCAACTATTTGCTGCTACATGCAACCATGTGCTGCGGCATGAATCTATTTGCTTCTGCATGCATCTATTTGCTGCTGCATGCAAATTCTTTTCAGTTGGTAATTGCTGGTAATCATGATGTAGGGCATCAGCCGACGTCCGCTGCAATTGAAGACTACGAAAAAATTTGGGGTGCGTCTTCAGGCACAATAATAAATATAAATAAAAATAAGAGATAATTATAATAATAATTAAGGTGAATAACACCAAATAATAATAACAATTTATGATCAAAATAATTAAAATGAAAACAAATAAGAATATTTTTACTTGGTGATCTTTTAGCGATGAACTTATTTAATATTAGTGCAAATGGGTTGCTGTCGAACTTTGTTGCGTAATATTATTTTTGTTGTTATTATTATTCCATTTATTTGTTTTCACTTTAATTAACATTATTGTTAATTGTTATTATTTGTACGATTATACTACTGCGGTTTTTAGTATGACTCTTCTGGGATAGAGTTTTATCTTGTTAAATTAAGATTGTTTTTCTTGTTCTCTGTAGTTTCCTTTTCTCGCTTTTTTTTTGCTTGCATTTGTCCAACTATTTTTATTTTTTATTTTGTTTTTTTGTTTAAACAGGCAAAGCAAACTTCAGCTTTTGGTTTGGAGGTATAAAATTCGTCGTTGCAAATTCTTCGCTCTTCTATGATGATGCCGCCTCCCCAGAAGCAGCAGAGGTAACCCTAAACCATAAACCCTAAACCCTAATTTATTCAAAGCCCTAATCCAGACAAATATGAATATTCTAAACCCTAGACACAACCACTAATCCTTTAGGGCGCACCCCTCTCGTTGCACGTGCAAACATTTCGCAAAAAAAGCCTGCAACGATATTAATACAACACTGCCCCCCGGCCTAACCAAGCTGTCTCGCTATCTATCTATCTAGCTAGCTAGCTAGCTTGCTTGCTTTAGAAAGCTAGCTGGTATATAATATATATATATATATATATGCTTTTTTTGCAACAACAGGAGCAGTTTGCTTGGCTTGAAGAAGAGTTCAAGGAAGGAGCAGAAAAAAGTACAATGAAATACCCTTACCACCTCGATATTTTTTCTATTTTGTTTGTTATATTTAATTGCAATATAACAATTGATCTAATATTTTATTTGCTTCTATGATTTATTCGCTGAAGTGTATATGCGTTGGTTGTTAGTTTTTCGTTTCTGTTTGAGATGAACGCATGCATTGTTTGTGTGTATTGTTTGATTTTAATTTATTTATGTGTTTAATCTGTTAGCGTTGCATTGATGCTGCTGTTCTTTTATTTCTTTTTCTTCTACTTTCTCTAATTGTCTGGTGGGGTGCCTAAGACGCTAAACATATCTTCTTGCTGCAACATCATCAATTCTATTGGAAGGGTTGGGCAGAAGCCGACGACAACAAAACTCAAATTGAAGTCCGCCAGATGAAAATTGTACGTACACCCCAAACCTCTATGTACTTCATATAATATATATATACATATATTTTCTTTACAATACAAATGCTTATAACTCTATATATATACATATACATCTATATATATATATATATGTTTAATCAACCCATTATGCATATTTGTATTATGTACATTTATATCTTTATGTACATTTGTATATATGTGTATATAAAATATATACACAATATATACATATATATATATATATATATATTTATATATTATCCGTCAAGAGGTCGGAAGCAGAAACCAGAGAAACGAAGTGGTTGTCAGCTCTAAACCCTAAATCCTAAACCCTAAACACTAAACCCTTTAATATGATGAGGTGCTGTTTATCTTTTGCCTTGAGACGTAGCAAACCCTGCAGCAATTGAATAAAGCTGCAATTGATATGCGAAGAAAAAATTTAATTATTTTTTTTTGTTTGTCTGCAGCACAACGTCATCTCCACCTTCCAACTACCTGAGAGATGGCGCCGCAGGTTTTTACCTCTTTTAAAAAAATATAAGGTGATTGTTTTTGTTTATTTCTCCCTTGTGCTTTGTCGATAATAATACTAATAGTACCTATATTTATATATCTGTCTATCTACCTATCTATCTATTTATCTATCTATCTAGCTACATATATATATATATATATATATATTAGTGTGTGGCTGCATCGCGTTTGTTTAAGTGTAAAAGAAGTGGCTTTTTATTTCTTCTCCACTGATTCTTCCTTTTTCTTTCTATTCACCTCATATATATGTATGTATATACACGCATAATCAGGTATATATATATATATCTATATATATACCTCGCTTTCACAATTAGCACATATAATTAAATAGTGCTGCATTTGTGTTTTCAACTATCGTTTAGGTTGGGGCTTCTTTTCACGGACATCTTCATTCAGATTCAGTTTTAAACGACGAAGAAATTCAACAAATTGTGACCTCTTCCTGCGGCTTCGCCACTAACGACGGAAGGTCTGTTCGTACACCCTAACAGATACACCGGGGCATGCAGATGTGTATATCCATTGCATGCAGAGGTGTACATCCATTGCATACAGAAGCGTATGTCCATTGCATGCAGAAGCGTATGTCCATTGCATGCAGATGTGTACATCGATTGCATGCAGAGGTGTCCACATGCTGCATGCAGAGGTGGCTATACACTGCATGATGTTTAAGTGATAATAATAATTGCATTCATCATATGATAATTCTTGTGCCTTTTTTTAAGTTGGAGCTGCCAATTAATGCCGCGACCTCTTCAACTGCATGCAGCAGCTTGTTCTGCATTGCATTTCTCTGTTGTTTGTTGTTTGTTTGCTTTCGATAGCGTCTTTGCATGCATTTTTTCTGCTGTGTACAGACCTGGATGGCGGCTGGTAGAAGTGAAGGAAACTGCATTTGAGCACAAGTTCATTCCTGTAGAGTGGCGAGCAAAAGAATATCCTTTCTTGCCCCCTCGCTTTGCATAAAGAAATATTTAAATCTTTCGTCTTCTCTCAATGTACAGTGCAGTAAACATACATGCACTCTTAATGCTTCTCTCCTCTTCTTTGTCTTCCTTTCTTTGTCATGTTCTGTCGGAGAGGGCTTCCTCTGCGTCGCCACCCCGCCTATACATACATATATATATACATTTATATATATATATATATGTTTATGTATAAATCCATATATACATGGGGATCATATATAAATGTATATATCCGCAATACAATGTAAATAGATATATTTATAGTAATAATGCACAATATATATTATGCACATTATGGATACAATATGTGCGGTGCATATATACATACAAAATATATATCTATAAATCTATATATATACAAGAAGCACATGATCACAGAACGTTGGTTTTGATTGTATATCTCTTGTTGGGGTTTACTTTGTCTCTGTTTTTTTTCCTTTTGTACTCGAGTTGTTTTTGCGCAAGCAGGCGGCCAGCCAATGCATTCTGTCTATAGATGGAGCATTTTATTAATGCTTTTCTACGTACTTGTATAAAATATATATATATATATATTATATTGCGTGCATGTGCATTACATATGTATGTTATGTATGTTATGTATGTTAATTACCATATATATATGTAATATATGTAAATATACATATAAATAAATAAATAAATATATATATATATATATATGTACATATATGTATACACCTATTTACAGCATTTGCCTAGAAGGGTGCCTGCATGCGCTGTGCGCAGATTTGTCTCAACCTGTTTCAGTCTTGCAGATTTACTTTTGTTTGTATTCTTTATTCTTTGTTTTTGTTTTTCTGCGTACTTCTATTTTAACAAAGACGGCGTGGAGAGAGGAAGGATATACCCCTGTAATAATGTTTACCTATATATATATTTAATAATATGCTTGACAATATATCTGATACTAAATATTTAACGATAATGTTTAATCATATATATGTAATAGTATATTTAATCATATATCTTTCAATAAGCCCAACAATAAGATAAAATTTTATCGAGTAATATCTCTCACAATATATGTTATCATATATCTAACAGCTTATCTAATGGTATATATAATAATATATCTATTGGTGTATCTAATAATATACCCAACAACAAGCCTCACAGAATATCTAATAATATATCTAATAACATATTCAGCAGTATCCGTAATACCTAAACCCAGTGATATACGTAGTACCAAATTTAATATTACAAATGCGAACAAACAACAAAGAAGCAAGCGCTGGAGGCAGAGAGAAAAGCACGGAAGAAAAAATAAAGTTACAGACAAAAAAGAAAAGAGACAGATAGACACACTAACAAACGAAAGAAAAGAGGGGTAAATAATATTAAAATTGGCAATCCAGTAAAGAAATTGTACGCAGAAAAAGACAAAAATACACTCCATATATATATATGAATACATAATTGAAAAAATACTTCTATATGGATGTACGATACCTAAAGGCATATGTGCTAATAAGGAAGGCATAAAAAGAAGCAGAAGTAAACCAGTTCAGAGCATCAATAGCTGCCAGGGTTTAGCGAGAAGTTTAAGCACGAAGGCACTTGTATGAAATAATTTTTATTAGATATTTATGAATTTGATGGTGATTCTGTTAACTATTATGGAAGGACCTGCGCTACAAGTTTACATTCAAAAGGTTAGCTTAGAAGCCATTATCCTTTAAAGAGTGCTTAGTAACTCCCTACATTAAAAATTATGTGCTACAGCAGGAAGTTTAAGCAAGAAAGCATTTGCCTGTATTAGCGACGTCTGCCTCGATTGTATAGTCCATAGACGAGGCATTTAAATGCCAATGGCTTCTGCTGCCTCAAGGAAGAACAAATACGCTAAAATAAGCTGTTTGTAGCAGAGAAAACACTCATTACAAACCAACAAAACAGTGCAGAAAGGAACCTCGGAGCAGGTGCTTCCACCCCACCAGGTAGAACGCATGAAAAATAACAAAAAGGCGCCAAAGCAATGCGAGCGTCAACAGAAAGTATTTTACTAGTGAGGTTTGTTCTTTTGAATACTGCTCTTGAACATTTCTTCCCTATTTTTTCTTGTTTTCCACTGAAACGCGCAAGCGGCAATGCCGCTCACGGTTTTGTACGGTTTGCCGCGTTTTTTCCCTCTTTTTTTTGCGTTAACGACAATGTTGAACCAAACAAAAGGTGGAAACATGGATTATATTCATTTTCTACATTTTTGATCTTAAATATGGCTCAAGCTTCCGCAGTGTCGCGACGACGCACGAACAGCGCAACATTGTATAAGGATACCAGCGGACACACAGTAGCCTAGGGGAAATTGTAGTGCTTTCTTGCTCTTAATGAAGCGATCTCCCTAAGCAATAAGGAATAAATAAGAATAAAAGCTAAAGTGATATAATAAAAGATGAAAGTAATGGGAAAAAATTCGAATTTCGAGGCTGCTCGATGATCGGCGCGGCTGCAGTCAACGAAAGCTGAAGTTGAACGAGGGGAATTTTTGCTGCATTCTTCTCTTTTTTCGCCTCCTATTTCCCCCAATTGCGGAGTTTTATGGAGCATTTCCTCTTCCTTTTGTAATTATTCTCGCTTTCTTGCTTAAGGGGAGCTACAAGAGCGGACACGGCTCACCGCAAGTGGCCCCTGCCTGCCCCCACGTCATTCGATTTTCTGCATTTTTCTTCCTCTTCTCCTTTTCCTGTGGTAGTGAACCCTAATTTTGCCTTTTTCAACTTCAGTCAATTACCTCCTTTCCAGATTCTCCCTCTTCTTCCACACCCTACATCAGCTAGCTTTCTTGTTTCTGCTGGCCCAGGGGAAACAAGAGAGGCCTCGATGCTCCCTTTAGACCCCGTAACTCTGAAAGGCATTCAGGCAGGAGGACTTTGGCTTCTCAGGCTCAGATCTCTTCTCTCCACTACATGCGTTGTGCTGAAAGGTACGCATCTTCAGCACCAGCAGCGGCAGCAGCAGAAGTGCGCACACTAAGCGCACAGCACAGTTTGTAGTATTTGGTGTATTCGAGGTATATAAATAGCTCCATTGATGCCCATATCCTCGTTAGTAGCTGCAGGGCGGTTGCTGGAGCAGCAGCAGCAGCAGCTGCAGCAGTTTCGACAGATGCGTACAGACAGCCTGCAGGGAGCTGCATCTTCCTCCATACCCTTGCGTATGTTATGCCTCTTTGCTTGTGGTGCTGAATCCGGTGTACGTACAGCTGCACCTGTCCTTCTGATGCATTTGTATGCTTACTTTCTGAATGTCGCGGTGTGCGTGTGTGAGCATGTATGTGTGTGTGTATGTGTGTGTTGCTGCAGGTGGAGGAGTTGTTCGTTTGCTTCCTGATGCCTTTTGTCTATCCTAAGTGAACAGTCAGGCAAAGTAACCAGACAGACAGACCAGAGGACAAGACAAGGGGATCCTAAGAAATAAAGAAAGAAAACATTCAAGGTTTTGCTGCCTCTGCCTCTCTACTACAAGATGAGAATACCTGTAGGGGGGCGTCGGGGGTTTTTGTCTTTTGTTCTTCTCGCGGTGTATGGAGCAGAAACCCTACGGAGTAGTTGTTTATTTGTAGCAGCAAAGAGGGAGGGGGGCCCTCAGCTGCTGCCTTCAGCCTCAGTTCTGTCGCCTCCTTCTGCAGCTCTGCTGCAGGAGCGCGCAGCAGCAGCAGAAGAAGACGTTGATGATGCAGGAAGTGGAGAAAATGATGAAGAGGAAGAGGTGTGTGAAGCTCAGGAAGCAATGTCTTCATTCTTAACGCAGGAGTTAGAAAAGCTGCAAGATTCTTCTTCTGCTTGGGCGAAGTTTTTATCTAAACTTGCTGAAGTAAAAGAAAATAAAGATGTGTGTATGGAGACAGGAGAATCTTCTAATAAACGAATATGTGAGCACGGAGAGAGCTCCTCCGGTGCTCCCCAGCCTTTACCCTGTGGGGGTGATGCATATGAAGAACTAATAAGCAAGTATTTTCAAGCAAAGAATTGTGAATTATCTCTTGCAGTAACACAAACTCTTATGCAGAACTGGGTTGGACACGGAGACAAAGAAGGTATATTTGATAAACTTATGTTTCTCTATGGGAAGGCTATGGAGTATGGTAATTTAGATTCAGATCTCTATTACGTTTACCAAGACGCAAAGGGGCTGCTGGAGGAGTTGCTGCAGCAGGCGAAAGATAGTGTTGCTGCCTTTCATTCATCAGACATTAAATCTGTCTTTGTTAAAAGAAGAAGAGAGATGCTGGGGCTTCTATGCGCTCTAGGCAGAGGAACAGATGCAGGAGCGCTTGCTGCAGATATTGTGGTTACAGAATCAGTAATGGTGATCAGGGGAGACTTTGAAGAGAGCGCAGCAGCAGCAGTTTTAGCTTTTGCTGCTGCTGTTGATGCATTCGGAGCTTACCCGCGGATGCTGCTAGAGGAAGGGGGTTTCTTAGAGAGAGCAGAAAAAATTCATGAGAATTATCATAAATTCAGAATGAATAAGCTTAATGGTATTCTTACAGACATTGAAGCAACAGCAAACGCAGGCGAAGACAGCTCAGGCCTGATGGACTTGGTGCCTCACCGCAGACACACACGACACCACAGCAGCAGCAGCAGCAGCAGCAGCAGCAGCAAGGACGGCAGCCAAGCGCCCGGAAAAGACTCAGCAGAAGCTGCTGCTCCTGTCTTCCTTGAGGGGGCAGCGGAGCAGATTGCAGCAGCACCAACTGAAGGAATGCCGCAAATAGCAGCAGCAGCACAACAGCCAGGAGGAGCAGCAGCACAGCCAGCACCAACACCTCTTCTGACAGCAACACCTCCTGCATCTACAGCAGGCCCTGGAGCGGCAGCCCCACCTGTAACAGCACCACCTGCAGCGCCAGTACAGCAGCTGCAGCAGCAGCCGCAGCCTGCTGCTGCTGTCCCTGGGGTACAACCTGCTGTTGCTGCTGCCCCTTCACAAGGAGCAGCAGCACCAGGAGCAGCAACAACAGTCTTCAGCAGCGGGGTTTCAGGATCTCCTGCACCATTAACAACAGCACCAGAAGCAGCACAACAACCTCCACCACCACCTGCAGCAGCACCAACATCTCCTGCTGCTTCTCCTCTGCCTACGGACACTTCAACAGCAGCACCAGCAGCATCAGCACTTCCGCAGCAGCAGCCTGCAGGAGGAGCAGCAGCACCGCCTCCCCCTGGCAAGCCCTCAGCACCAGGAGCAGTAGGAGCAGCAGGAGCAGCAGGAGGAGAAGCAGAAGCAGCAGGAGAGGGACATAACAGCAACCACAGTATTCCTATTCGAGATCGTATAGAAGACATGGTGCGCAGCATGAAGATGTTTGAAGTTGAAGACGGGGCGATTACCTACAGACCAAACCTGACAACTCTTGAACGCGTTGTTAAAGCAGGTTATACAGATATCACGTAAGATAATCTTTCTTCTTTTTCCTCTTTGTTTATTCCTTGTTGCTCTTCTTTGTTTATTCTTTGTTTATCCTTTGTTTATTCTTTGTTTATTCTTTGTTTATTCTTTCTTCTTCTCTATTCTTTGTTCTGGTTTTGTTTCCTCTTGTTTTGTTTGATTCTTCTTATTTCGTTTCTTCGTGTTTTCTTTGGTTTGCTTCACTTCATAGTTTAGCGATTGATTTCGTCTTGTTGTTTGTTTTTTTTGTTAATCTTTGTTCGTTTACTTTTGCCTGATGTTTGTTTTTTGGTGTTCGTTGTGTATTTGTTGCTTCTTGTTTGTTTTTCTTTGCTATGTGTTCGGCCTTGTTGTTTGCTGGTTGTTATTTCTTTTTGTTTGTTATATATTTGTATATTTATACATTATATATATATGTATTTTATATATACATATATTTATATTTGTATAATTTTTGCACCAGTCGAATGAACAGCATAGCGTGAATGCGTTTTTCTACGAACGAGTTGTTTAGTATGTTTTTGTTTTGTTTTTCCTTTATTTTAATAATTATTTTAATCATTTTCTTTCTTTTGTCTGTCTCTTCTCTGGGGTGTATGTACAGCGATCATGTATTCGTGGAGGCATTCATGATGCTTCCCCAAGCCTTCGTTGTCTCTACTTTTAAACTTATTTCTCTTCTTCTTCCTAACCCTCAAGTTGACTTCGCCGAATTTTATAACTCCACCTTAGCAGACGACGGAACCATTACTGAGGGATTCAGTGGGGAGTTGGTGTGTGCACACAAATACAAATATATGTATATATATATATATATATTCTTCTGTTTCTTCTTGCTCTGTTTCTTCCTTTTCGTCTTCTGTGCACGAAAAAATATAATATATGTAGATATCGATACGTATTATATATAAAGAATAAGAATATATATATATATATGTATGTTTTCTGTTTCTTCTGTCTCTCGTTCCGTTTTTTCTTTTTCGTTTTCTGCATCCCTTTCTTCTTCTGCGTTTTTTTCTCTTTCTTTTTCTTGTGGTTTGCTCGTTTGTTTGTTTTAGTGCATTGGTTGCTTGCTTTTATGCTTGGTTTTTCGTTTTTGTTTGCTCGCTTGCGTCGCGTTTTTTTGCTGCACACACACATAGTGATCTGTGTATTAACGTATGATTATATATATATATATATGTACATATATGCACACACGCATATGTAAATATATACATATATATATTTATATAGGGATGCGTGTATATGCAAATGCACACATATACAAATGCATGTGCGAAACTAGATGGTGTTTTGTTTGAATAAACTTTCTGTTCATATTAAAAACTTTGACTATTTTTCATTGGCTTGTTAGCCTGTTTAGTATTTGTTTGTATTCTTTAATAGTCTGCTGTTGTATGATATTTGTTGTTCTTTACCTTTTGCTGCTGCCTCTGCTGCTGCTGCTGGACAAATATAAAATATGAATGTCTCTGCGTTTGTATTTCTGTGTATTTGCTGCTTTAATTGGGGTGTATGTACAGCCTGTTAATCATAAGTTGCTGGCTGAGAGATTCTCAGAAGCTGTTGATGAAGCTTATAAAGATACATGGCGAGAGTTCTTCCACGACCAAGACGGTATAAATGACATTGCACAGCTACAAAGCCCTAAACCACAGCAGCAGCTGTTGCAGCAGCAGCAGCAGCAAGCAGCCTCACAACAAACTGAAGCGGAGGAGCATGTTAGCGCTCTGGAGGTGAGTTGATCGCCTCATATTTCATTCACGGGGCTTTCTGCCTAGCTGCCAGATGTATATTATATATATATGCGTATATGTACACAAACGCATAGGTAATATATATATATATACAATATTTATCATTCGCCTTCATGCATCTTCTGTCTTCCTGCCTATTTCTTTCCAGCTTATATATATTTATATGCGTCCTTTATATATATATATATATCTTCTAGCTTGTTCTTTTTGCCGGCTGTACACATTGATAAGTTTGTTTGTGTTGCATTTGTGTGTCTTGCATTCCCTTGAGTTGTTGGTAATATATATATATATAACACTATTTAAGTTGTTTTCTTTGTTGTTGTTTTATCGCTGGTATATATATATATATATATATATATACGGAATGCATGCATCTTGTGGCTTATTTGCTTTGTTGGTGCAGCAGAGGGGTTCAGGAGTAGTGCAGCCGCATTCATTCGTATTAACGGGAGCAGAAGAAGAAAGCAGCTTTAAAGTTGCAATTGTTTCTACTTCTGATGGGTTTAAAACCGGAGACGTCGAACAGTTTGCTGATGTACAAGCTGTAAACTCTATGAGTCTCCAGGCACTTGTGAGTTGTCTGCAGCAGACATAGTAAAGGAGACCTTCACTTAATATTAATAAACTTGTATTATATATATGCATGTTTAAATATATGAGTTCTCTGCAGCAGACATAGTAAAGGAGACCTTCACTTAATATTAATAAACTTGTATTATATATATGCATGTTTAAATATATGAGTTCTCTGCAGCAGACATAGTAAAGGAGACCTTCACTTAATATAATAAACTTGTATTATATATATGCATGTTTAAATATATGAGTTCTCTGCAGCAGACATAGTAAAGGAGACCTTCACTTAATATTAATAAACTTGTATTATATATATGCATGTTTAAATATATGAGTTCTCTGCAGCAGACATAGTAAAGGAGACCTTCACTTAATATTAATAAACTTGTATTATATATATGCATGTTTAAATATTTATATATATATATATATGCGTGTATATAGAGTAAAGCACATAGAGTATGTGGGACAAGTTATAAAATACATACATACTTTTTACGTATGTAAGGGGCGAATTAAATATATATATACATGCATATATATATATATATATGTATATATATGCTTTGGTTTCCTGTATGCGTGGTGCATGCACAGTGGAGATAAGCAGATGCATTGATGAATGAATTGCCGTCGTATTGTTTGTGTTTGTTTAATGAATTCGTTTGCTTTTTTTTGTTTTTGTTTGCTTCAGGCATCCAGCGCTTCTTTTGCAGATGTATCATTAGCGAGGCTGGTTCTGGTGTCTTTAGGCTGTGTTTTGTCTTTCTGGCTGTTATAAGGGGGAAGGAGAGAAGAAGGAAGAACTAAAATAAATCAAACGAAGGATTGAACGAGCGAAAAAAGAGAGAAGAAGTACAGAGAAATGCATGTTTTGATGCCCTGGCCCTCTTCTCAGGTGTATATACACCTGAGAATAGTAATATCGGTCTTACTCTGAGCTTGCGTTCACTAAAATATGAGGAGAAGAATCTCCATAACAATAAAATACTGTTGTAAATAATGCTGCAGCACCCTCTGCATTTGCATGCATGCCCGAGTATGCATGCAAAGACAAGTACATCAGCAAACAAATACACAAAACGAAGAAATACTATTAACAAATTCACCTACAATCAGGTGTACGTACACCATACAATGCATGCAGCTTTGTAGGGGATCCTCTGGCGTACATGTATATATATTTATGAAGAAATAACCACGCATTGTTTAAGTGCATGCATGCATGTGCATATAATATATAATATATATATATGATAGACTGTATATATTTTATATATTATTCATAATGTAGAGTATAAATAATATTTATTATGCATATTCTATATTATATTCTGTTGTTTGCTTAATTATTATTCATAACGATATCTGCTTAAGCAGACGCGTTATGTGGATTCATAAGCACATCGGTACATCATAATGCATGCACTAATATGCATATACAATATATATAATATATTTTCTAGTGTATATGAAATATATTATATATATTATGTATATTACGGTGTATACCGCATATATACATGTACTTCCTTGTGCATGCATTCATGCATGCATGCATGCATGCATGCATGCGCAAGGAAGCCCTCGTTGTTTATTTCTACGTTTTGTTTGTTTGGTGTATTTGATGGCGGTGCGGGTTGTTGGGTTTATCTCCTTTTTCTTCTGGCAGTGCAGATAGAGTAAACCCTAGAGATGAAGAAAAACAAACAACGTAAACAAACAAACTTTATTATTTCTTCTTTTACCCTTAAACAGCACATCTTGTTTATTTTCTTCATAGAAGGCTTCACAGTCTCTCTTTCTTTTCTTCGTTTTGTTACTTTGTTTGATTGTCTTCCTTCTCTATCATCTCAATGTCTAACTATCTATATATCTATGTATCTATACCTACATCTATATACATCTATGATGATATTACATATATGTATATATTTATACACCTACATCTGTGTATCTTTATCTATCGATCAATATCTACTTACCTATATCTAAATCTATCTCCATATCAATCTATGTATCAATATCTGTCTGTATCTATATATACTTCTATATCTATATCTGTATTGATATATATATATATATTCTATCCGTCTATACCATATATATATTCTATCCGTCTATACCATGCACTGTCTCCCTAAGCCCTAAACCCTAACCCCTAGACGCTAGACCCTAAACCCTAGAAATCTTAGGGTTTAGGGTTTAATGATTTGTTAGAGAAGACAAAGACGGAACTGTAGAGGTTTACGCCTCCAGCTGTACGTACACCGCACGCTTTGCGTTGCGGAGTAAATAGGCAATAGGGAATACTAGACAATAAAAATGCAAGAAAAAATAATATTCATTTAGGGTTTTAAACAAAGCCAAGTGCTGCATGCAGCCCCACTACCTCCTAACATATCTCTTCTGCTCTTCTTCTTCCCTCCCGACTTCAGCATTACCTCCATTCCAGCCTGAGGGTTTAGCCATTCCTCAATAACTACAACCTCTGCACCAACTCCTTTGAAGATATCTCCCTCTGCTGCTGCTTCTCTGCATGCATGCGGCCTTCCAGAGGTGTGCTGCTGCGCAGCCTCAACGTCACTAGGGGCCCCCTGGGGAGGCCCTGTTGACGGAGGTCCCTGATGGGGGCCCCCTAGGGGGCCCCCCTGGGGGGCCCCCTGGGGGCCCCCCTGAGGGCCCCCTAGGGGTCTGGTGAATACAGAGAGGCTTTTGAAACCCCGTGTTGCTGTGCGTGCTGCTGCAAATGCCTTTAAATTATCTGCGAATTGGGGTATCGCGTCTGAGGTTAGGAAGAGGCGGTGGACTCGCGCTAAGCTGCAGCAGTCACACCATTCCCCTGTAGAAATTGTTGTAGTTTCTTCTGCTGCATTTGCTGTTCTTTTGCCTTCTCCTTTTTGCTTATCTTCTTCTGAAAGAGGAAATGATGGAGATTTCAGGATGCTCGTTTGAGCAGATGAAGATAAATGGCTGCGAGTGGCGAAACCAACGCAAAAGCCGCAAGCGGAAGGTATGAGAAACTTGAGGTATATTTTGTTCATGATAACCGGAACATGTTGAAAAAAGGGAATTAAATCACAATAAATAGAATTATATTCGCTTTATTTTCAAGAATTTATCTTTTGATGAGGGAGAGTCACACCCTCCTTCTGGACAGACAGAAAAACCTGAATGCATTGTGTTCGGGATGTACATGCAGCTCGAGACAGTATTCATCCTTCTGCAAAGAAGATGAAACTTCTCTATAAATTCACATTTTTATTCGTTTTTTCCATTTCAACTTGTGTTAAAGACTGTTTTTCATTTCTTCTTCCGCTCAGTCGTCGTCCTGTCTTAGTTTTTTCTGCGCTTCCCTCATCCACTCCGCGCTCTCCATCCCGCGGGAGCAGTGGTGCTTTTCAAAGGAAAACTATGGAAGAAACCCCCCCAATATCATCTTCTGGAGTGTTTCCTCTTGTACAAATTGATAATCGCTCTTTCTCCCTTCTATACAATGCCTCAGGAGGCCCGAAGTCGCACGTCTTGACTGACTTTGGGGGCCGCAGGGAATATGTTACAGTTGAAGCTCCAGCTGCAGAAACTTCTACATTAAATACCTGCACCATTCAGTCATCACCCGCTGACAAACATAACCGCAGGAAAAAGAGAAATGCAGCAGCAGCAGCAGGAGCAGCAGCGCCAGCAGCAAGTAGAACACTTGAAGATCCACAGACATGCGCTGCAAGAGAACTCATTGAAGAAACAGGGGGCCTCTGGGGCCTCTGGAATATTCTGCAGCAGCCTCTTCTATCGAATGAACCTCACCCAGACGCACGCATACGCGTAGAACAACGGCTGCAGCAGCTGCTGCAGCAGCAGCAGCTGCAGCAGCAGCAGGTGCAGCGGCAGCAGCAGGAAGATGTGTGTGCTTCATTTTCTCGGCTTCGTTTAACAGGTGGAAGCGGCATTAAGCAGCAAAATGTATCTGCTGCAGTTGCAGCTGCGGCGCAGCTTTTAAAAGAGTGTAAGAAGGTGTGTATCAGCAGCAGCACGTCTTTATTTAATGAATATGTTCTGTATGATTAGTTTTCTCTTTGTTATTTAATTGTATTTCTTTTTAATTCTTTTAAATCTACAGTTGTTATATCTTTTGCAGGTTGGCGAGGTGTACAAAGAGCGCTATCTTTCTTCTTACTTTCTCTTCCCTTCTTTACCTTGCTCTCTCTTCGCTAACTTGAGAGCAGAAGAAGATAAAGTACTATCAAGAGACCGCAGATTTTTTCTTTTGGATTTAGCCAGTTGTGGGGTGTACGTACACCCCAAAGAGGAAGAGACAAAAGAAGAAAACTTCAATAAAAAGACAGAAAGGCTCTGCCCGTTCGCACCTCTTCATATCCGTCTGTCTTCTCCTCAACATTTCGATTTGCTTAAACGCCTCGTTCACTTAGCACCACACAACAACAAACCTGCTGCTGCTGCTGCTGGTGCTGCTCCCGCTGCTGCTGCTGGTGCTGCTCCCGCTGCTGCTGCTGCTGCACCCGCTGCTGCTGCTGCTGCTGATCATGATGAGGCTGTTGATGGGCGTCAGGCTGCAGCAGCAGCAGCAGGGGGCAGAGAGGAAGCAACAGCAGCAGCAGAGCCTCCCACAGCAGCAACTGCTGCCGCTGCTGCAGAACCACCAGCAGCAGCAGCAGCAGAAACTGCTGCTGCTGCTGCTGATGTTGGAATTGAGAAAGCAGATCAGTTGTGGCCTACCGCGGGAACAAGCAGCAGCATCAGCACCAGCAGCAGCATCAGCATCAGCAGCAACAGCAGCAGCAGCAGCAGCAGCAGCAGCGATAAGGAGCTGGGGGATTTGCTGCTGCAGCTGCTGCTTCCTAGACATTACCGTACGCTGCAGCAGGAGGAGCAGCTCAAGGAGTATCTGCGCATGCACTGTAATGGATTAATGAAGAGATGCAAAGCCGAGCACAAACAAAACTCGAAAAGTCGTGGGTTCTGTGGGATTGGTGCTGCTGTGCATGCGCTGCTGCAGACTTCTTTATGGTAAGAAGTATTATTATTATTATTATTATTATTATTATTATTATTATTATTATTATTATTATTATTATTATT